CTCCCTCCCTCCCTCCGCCAGTCACCTGTCCACCCTCCATCCATCCATCCACCTACCCACCGTTCACCATCCTTCCACCCATCCGTCCGTTGACCCACCTATCCATCCACCCTCCATCCACCTGTCTTGACATTCACTCATCTGATACACTCATTCACCCACCCAGCCATCCCTCTCTTCGTCCACTTTAGTCCATTCCTTTGCCCACGGATGTAGCCCTCACGTATCCTTCATCCACGCAGCCCATTATCCTTCTCTCCCTGTGCTGAGTGCCCGGGGTGCAGCCGGACTGCCTTAAGTACGGAGGATGCAGAAAAGCCTCAGACATGACCCTTGTCTTTCAAATGCCCACGGGTCAGCAGAGTGGAGGCAGACAGGTGTACAAGGAGGTTTCTATACATAGCAAGTGTTGATAGAGGCAGCAAGACAGCACAGAGGAACCCCCTGAGATCGCCCATGTGACAAGCACTTACTGAATACACAGTCATTAGATAGGCCTGTCTCATGATCTGCACAAGCGTTTGTTACCTGTGTTAACAGATACTGGTAGATGTTATAAGTCTCACTTACAGATGAGGAGCCTGAGGTCCAGGGTCTCAGGTCATACAGCTGGAAATGTGAACCTGTGTGTCTGAAACCTGAGCTGGAGTCACTGTGTTCCCCGAGAGATGTGTCAACTGTGAGACTCAGGGTGTATCATCACTGAGTGTGCTCACTGTCACTTGTGTACACATCTATGTTCCTGCAGAGCAGCTGACAGGAGACTCTTCGAGGGCAAGGCTGTGCCTGACATGCCTCTGTTCCTGCTCTGGTGCCTGATGGGTGACTGACACACAGTAGGTGTGCTGAGGAAGGGAGCGGGATAGACACAGCATCTCCACGGGAGGGCTCCTGGCTCCCTTTGTGCTGGCCACAATATGCCGACAGCTCTGACCTCCACGAGTCTCTCGCTGGCATCCAGGGGCCAGCAGGGCTGTGAAGGTCACTCTACCTCTGTTCTGGTGCCAGCCACCGGGTGGGCTCAACCGTGGTCCTTGCTGGAATCTCTGCCTCCATGCAGAAACACTCCTGCAAATGGCTGTAAACACCTGAGGTGAGTCCAGGGCTCCGGCACCAGGACCCAGGGCTGGCACCCAGCAGGTACGCCCTGACAGGGGAAGGCGCTTGCAGGGGCGAGGGAGACGCTCAGGGGCTCTACTCCTTGGCCATAGAAAGACGGCCCCTCCTCTCCTAAGACCCAGCCAGAACATGTGGGGTTGGTCCTCTCCTTTTTCCTCCAGACTTGACCTCTAAGGAGCAGACCCATCTGCATTTTTTTCTTTCTTTTCCCAGAGTGATACCTATCTTGACAACTCAAGATGAATTGGAATTACATTCAGAGGGAGAGGGAGAGAAAACACACGTGCATGCATGTGTGTGAGCATGTTTGTAAAAGTGTGTGAACATGTATGAGTGTGCATGCCTCCGTACATGTCTGTGAGCACATATGTATAAGCATGTGCGAGCACATGGGTGCATGAATGTGAATGTGCATGTGTGTGCATGTGTGTGTGATTGCATGTGTGTAGGGTGTGAGTGTGTGCAAGTGTGTGTGAGAGGTGTGTGAGCGTGTGAGCATGTGTGTGAGAGGTGTGTGTGTGAGTGCGTGAGAGCATGTGCGTATGTGCACGAGTGTGTGGACATGCCTGGAGCACGGGCACAGGACACTGGAGACCTTGCTTGGCCTCTCACCCACTGTCTGGCTGTGGCGAGTCTACTGCAATCTCAGCTCCACGGGGTCAGAGGCCGGGCAGGGTCTGCCATGTATCCCTGGCACCGGGAGTGCTTGAAAGATATTCCTTGGGTAAATGAGTGAATGCCACTAAGCCCTCCACTCTTGCCTCCTCACCTCTTGAGTTGAAACAATGTCTGCTCCCTGGACTACGGGAGGACTGAAATGATGGGGGGGAGGCTGGTGCCGCAGCCCCGTCAGCGCCCCTGCCTCCTCCCTGCCCCCCCGCACCTTTCCAAGACCGACTCTCTCTCTGGACTCTCTACAGAGCTCAGTGCACCCTGCCTCTGGAAGGTCCCCCTGGGCCCTGGGATGCACCTGTCCCGAGGCGTCCCCTTAAGAAAGGCTGACGTCCTCTCCCTAGAGTCAGGACGCCTTGGCTGGGAGCCTCCCAGAAGTGGGGGTCTCAGGATACAGAGACCCCTGGCTTCCCTTTCTCCCAAGCCACCAGCCTCCAAAGCAGCGAGACTCCAGCCCACTGGAAACGACCCCCAGAGACTTGAAACAAAAAGCAATTACTTTCTGCTTTAAAGCAGGGACCAAAGAAATAGAGAATACTAGCCCCATGGTGGCAATTCTGGTTTGAGTGGGTGACCAGGCAGGAGTGAGCCCCCTCTCCCGGCCTGCCGAGTAGCTGAAGGAGTGGAGTGAGGAGACAGACTGTCTCCGGCCTCCCGGGCTGAAGCTTCCCCCTCATGGTGCCATCTATGGCTCACACGTGTTCAGAAATGAACAGCACAGCACACTGGGTGAAATTTAAGTACCATCCCTGCATCTGGAGAGCCGATCTTCCTGGGAAACTTGGGGGGAGGCCATCTTTTCTTTGTGGATTCATTTAAAACAGCCTCCCTGAGGGATCTCCTGAGACGTCATTGAGATGAACCATGTCTTCTCCCTGAAACCTCCGCAAAGCCCTGGAAGCAACATGGCCCTGACTCCACGTTCCAGGGAGGAGCCGGACTCCAAGAAAGAAAGCACTTGTTCCCAGTGGCGCAGCCAGCAGTGGAGGGATGGGGGCGTGCACCATGTCTGCCTCCTGGGACCCCTGCAGGTCCCAGGATGAAGTCACTTTGGGTCACACCCAAACCAACCAGGGCCGGGGAGGCACGAAAGAGAGAGCCCCTGCCTGCTCGCCCGAGATACAGACTGTCTCAAGGACTTTCTAACACAGCCCGCAAGAAAGTCTTTCCTTAGGACTGCAGCTACTCAGACAAGATGCTCTCGAAAGAGCACCTGGGCCGGGTGCAGGGGGCTGATGCCTGTAATCCCAGCACTTGGGGAGGCTGAGGTAGGAGGATTGCTAAGGTCAGCAGTTGAAGGCCAGTCTGGATGACGTAGCAAGGGGCCCTGTCTCTGTTTAATTTAAACATTAACAAAACATCTGCTCGGTCATGGCGCCTCCACTGAGGCACTGATGCCAACTTGGGCCTCGAGCCTCGGAACCGGCAACCTGTTTCTAGGCAGCCCGAGTGAGCCTCGCCTTTTGCCAGTACGAGCCCTCCTCCTGCTGTTCTTTGGATGCACATGCGGCCTGCCATCACTGTACATCTCAGATTACAATCCTCTGTTTTTGTTTTTTGTTTTTGAGTTGGAGTCTCACTCCGTTGCCCAGATTGGAGTGCAGTGGCCACTCTCAGCCACCGCAGCCTCGACCTGCTGGGCTCCGGCGATCCTTCCGCCTCAGCCTTCCAAGTAGTGGGAACTACAGGTGCGCTCTACCACGCCCAGCTAATTTTTGATTTATTGTGAGATGAGGTCTTGCCAAGTTGCCCAGGTGGGTCTCGAACCCGTGGGCTCAGTCAATCCACTCATCTCAGCCTCCCAAAGTGCTAGGATTACAGGCTGAGCAACGGAGCCCAGCCACAATCCTTTTTTCTAATAATTCCAAATAAATTCAACATATTTGGAGATGCTTTTCTCTAATGCTTTTTAGGCTGCACCCCTAAAAGTAACTTGTTGAGTACTGAGAGTGACGCTGGATGGCATTTGAAAACACCGAGATGCCACACCTGCATCTCAGCTGTTCAACTTCCTGAACTTTTAGTCCTTGAACAGCCAGCAGGTTGGGGGATGGGAGGACCACTTGAGCTGTCTCCTCCCAGTACAAGTGGTCCTGCTTCGTGTCTGTTCTTGACTGTCATTTGTTTGTCTGTCTGCCTATCATCCCTGTCTGTCTGTCTCTCTCTCTCTCTCTAGTCTATCTATCCAGCATCTCTATTTGTCATCTATCTATCTATCTGTCATCTATCATTTATTTTTGTAGAGACGAGGTCTCACTATGTTGACCAGGCTGGTCTCGAACTCCTGGACTCAAGCCACCTGCCTGCCCTGGCCTCCCAAGGTGCTGAGATGACGGGCGGGAGCCGCCGTGCCCGGCCCGTTCTTGGCCATCCAGGGAGGTGCTGTCTCCTTGCCTTTCTCGTTTTCCCCTTCCTTTGGATTCTCCCCTATTGCCTTTTGTTTCCTTTCTTTTCCTTTATGAAAAAACTGATCAACAACAGCCGCAGAGAGTGGAACAAGTGCAAGTGCAAGAGCATCCTGTGGGCCCTGCCCGTGGTCATGTGGGAGCCCCAGGGTTAGGGGCGGGGGTCAGCTTGTGGAGGTCAGCGTGGCCGGTGCCTGCCACCTCCCCACTCTGGTCTCAGCCTTCTCGTCTGGGATACCACCGGCCTCAGAGCCTCTCGGATCCCTCCTGGAGAGTCATACTCGAGGCTTTTCTGCTCGAAGGGTGATGGTGAACGTCACTCTTCTGGAGCCCCAGCAGACTTCTTTTTTTTTCCCCCTTCTTGGGAAAAGGAAAAAAAAAAATGCACAAAGCACAGTGCCTATTGCCCATGTGGAGAACATTTTAACAACGTTGTTTGCATGACCGGGCCACGGGTTTGCCAGCAAGCCGCTGAAGCCGCATTCTTAGTAAAGTTCCGCCTAAAAGTGTCCACCTCGCTGTCAATGTGGGATGTGACTGTTTTCTTTGGGTGCACCTGGACAAGAATGCTCAAGATGGAAATCCCTCTTCCCGTCTCCAGCGACTTGACAACAGTCCCCATCCTGGGCTCAGCACTTTACAGTTTAGAACATGTTCCCAGACCCATAAGTCCATGAAGTTCTCACAACCAGACTACGAACGGGACAGGGCAGAGGGAGCCCGGTCTGTTTTGCAGACGAGGAAACAGAGGCTCAGGCTGGTGAAGCGACCTGCCAGAAATCCCACGAGGAAACGGGGAGACGGGAGCTTCCGATTCCTGCTCCACGGTCCAAGCCACCTGCTCCCTGCACGCCTGGAGCGGAGGCGGGTGGGCAGAGGGGCGCAGAGGGCCGAGGGCCACCCTTGCTGCCAAACGTCCCCGGCCCCTGTTGGCTCATGCGAGAAATCTCTTTAACCAAAAGCAAGGCCGTGCATTCATTCTATCATCAGAAATTCTCGAAATGCAGGATCTAAGTTCTCATTCAGGAATACGTGACCAATTCTAGTCTATCCTGTTTTCCAAAGATCAGGCCCGGAGCAGATCATGGTTCCAGAAGCCTCTGCCCCTCCCCATCTTGGCTAAAGCGACCTGGCCGCTTCCCCAAAAGCAGCATCACTGAAGGCACCACCGCCAGGCTCTTGGCTACAAACCCCCGTCCCGAGCCGGGCTGACACGTATCAGCCTCGGGTTTGTGACACACGGAAACATCCTTCCTCAGAGGTATACTCCATCACAATTTATGAAAAGAGGCCTCTCTCTGGAGGCTGCTAGTGAATTTGCATTTCACATTCAGACTGCCGAGGGCCTCGGTGGTGCCTTCACATTGCTGGGAACACAAAAAAAGGATGCATTCAGAAGCACATGGTATTGGCAGGCATGCAGGCAACCCCGGCAGCGGAGTCCAACTGTACCATGCTGCTTGTAGATGGGGGGTTTCCTATAGATGTTATCTTTTACGCCAGTGTCTGAGAAAGAAGAGAGAAAAAAGGAGAGAATAGGAGAGTGAGCGGGCCTGCTGCGAGGCGTTCATTCTGCCGCGTTTTTGTAGGCCATGAGCATCGCCCAGAGGCAGAGTCACCAGGAGAATCCGACACCCAGAAAGCGACAGCCCTGGCCCTGCAGATGCCACGCCCATCTGAAGGGGACGGGGAGAGAGGCGGCGGGGTGGCAGCCAGCAAGAACCCGGGGCACCCCGGCTCGGACAGCCCTTTTCTCCACCCTTTCCCAAGAGGACACGCGCGTCTCCCCGGTGTCTGTGGGACTTCGGGAGAAACTCGGACACACGTCGGGCTGGGGATGCGTGAGCCCAGCGGGTGGTTTCCAGGGTCTCCGAGTTGGGGGGAGCGGCGGAGAGCCCACGTGGCGTGTGCCCCTGGGGGCAGCGCGGCGCGACCCGGAGCCTACCTGGGATGTGGAAGTGGCGAGGCGCCTGCTGGTAGGTGGAGGAGGCCGGCTTGCTGTCCGAGAGCACGGAGAGGCTGGGGGTGCTCCGGCCACTTTCACTGCCTCCAGGCGGAAGAGCAAAGACAGCAGATGAGCGGGGGACAGAAAAGAAAGTCGAACACTTCCAGCATCCGGGCGCGCCCGTGGCCAGGACCGGAGCGCGGCCCCCTTGGCCCTCCCGGACGGCGCTCGGCGACTTGCTCATCCAGCCTTGGTTCAAGGTCCCTGCGTCCAATGGCACAAGAGGGACCACGCCCAGGGCAGAAGGTGGCTGTCCTCGGGTCACCAGGGTGGGCCCGGGCTGCTTGCCTGAGTTCCGGTGTCCATGGGGCGCACGCCCGTCTCTACTCTGTGTCCTGGCTTATGTTTCTACTCTGTGTCCTGGATTAAGTCTCTACTCTGCGTCCTGGCTTACTCACCCATGCTAAGGCCTCCCTTCCGAGTTATCCTTGTATGTGAAGACACTGCTTTCCTTGAGATTCCTCAAGTTGGCTGCTCAGGAAAGGATTAAAGTGCTCAAAGGAATCACAATCATCCTTAAAGACCATCGAGGAAAACGTCACTAGCTCCCGGAAAATAAGGAAGTAACTGCATTCACCGGCTGCCTCGTTCCCAAATAAAGCTATTTTTTTTTTTTTTTTGAGTTGGAGTCTCACTCTGTCACCCAGGCTGGAGTGGAGTGGCTGCTCCCAGCCACCGCAGCCTCGACCTGCCGGGCTCTGGCGATCCTTCCGCCTCAGCCTTCCAAGGAGCCGGAACTACAGGTGTGCACCACCATGCCCGGCTAGTTTTTGATTTTATTGTAGAGACGAGGTCTTGCCAAGTTACCTGGGTGGGTCTCGAACCCGCGGGCTCAGGCCATCCACTCGCCTCGGCCTCCCAAAGTGCTGGGATGACAGGCTGAGCCACCGAGCCCGGCCAGCTATTTTTTAAGCCTGGAAAATTAACCGGAAAGTGTCCTCTGACCCTGCCCAATCCCTCACCGCTTCCCACACTGCAGTTTGCATTTTGTGAACAAGGCTGGATTAGCAAGTCGGATCTGGTGACGCCCCCGCCCCGCCGCCCCATGCCTGTTTGATAAATGACGCAACAGACAGACGCATGGTGGCACACTCTTCGGGGGGGGGCCTGGCTCATTGCATGAGACGCCCCCAGGGCTCCCGTCAGCCCAGGAGCGCCCACGGCACCAGGGAGCAGGGGGGTGGCCAGGGGGAGGCGCTCTCAGCTTGAGAACACCCTCTTTGCGCCGCAGGACCCAAAAGTGGCATCAGGAGGAAACAGCCTCCCAGTGGGCCCGGACGTGGGCAGGCCAGGGGCCGGGTGCTGGGCAGATGAGAGAAGCCCCACAGACGCCGGTCCCCAGGAAGTTGCTGCCGTGGGAGGGACCCAGGGACCCCACCCAGCAGCCCACGCCAGGCTGCTGCCACAAAGGGACCCACTGACACCCACGCCGAGCGATTTCTTCTGCCTGGGCATGGGTGCTGATTTCACTTGTCGAAGTTGATGGAATGGTTTTCCCTGAGCTGCCTCCCTCTGGAGCAGCATAGAACCTTCTGGAACGCCACTGGACTCTACTGGCTCCTGTACCCCTGGTGGTAGCAAGGGCCTGGCACGAGGGAACCTCAACCCATATGCAAGGAAGGGAAGCCGGGGATTCCTTCTAACCCCCAGAACTGTGCCCACAGGATGACACACAAAACACGGCTTTAAAAACGCATCTGCACGGACTCTGGATGGTGGAAGGTGGTTCACTCCAGGTGCCATTGCCGAGCCCAGCGTGCGATGGGCACGGCCTGTGACCCGGACTTCGCACAGCTTCGTTCTTTGTGGAATTTGTACCCCTGCACCTGCCACAGCTCCTGCCCAGGTGGCCAAGGATCCAACAAGCCCAGCATTCTTGCCCATCCCTGTTCTCAGCCCACCGTGCAGTATCCCATGAAGGTGCAAACGAGGTTCTGGGAACATGTGTGCACATCTGTCCATGGAGGGTCCACAGCTTTCGACAGATGCTGGAAGGAACCTGAGACCCCAGGAAGCCGGGGCACGAAGCAGCCGTGGTGTCCCCTCAGCCCGCCCCCAGGCCATCCTCTAACATCAGCCACCTAATTCTGCCATGCTGGCCCAGCCTGGAACACGACTGCCACGTCCGTGCCGCCCAGCCTCCTGGGCTTCCCACCGGTCCAGGCCCTTCCTGGGTCCAGGTTCAGGGTCTACCTCTCCTGCACAGCCTTCTGAGGCCACGGCCATGAAGACATCACCTCCACCCTCCCCCCACTCATGTGGCCTGTTCCTGCGTGGTTCATTGGATCTACATGTATGGCCAGCTCAGACCCTGCTGGGCCATGTGGAGCTTTTCTGAGTTATCACAGCCCTGCTGGGCGGGCGCCACCTCCTGCAGAGAGCACAGGCTGGCTGTGGGGCGAGGCTGGTGCACTACTATGCCCAGCTAGTTTTTGATTTATTGTAGAGACGAGGTCTTGCCAAGTTACCCGGGTGGGTCTCGAACCTGCGAGCTCAGGCAATCCACTCGCCTTGGCCTCCCAAAGTGCTGGGGTGACAGGCTGAGTCACCCAGCCCGGGCTTCTTTTTTCTTTTTTTGAGTTGGAGACTCACTTTTGTCGCCCAGGCTGGAGTGCAGTGGCATGCACGCTCACGGCCACCCCAGCATTGACCTGCTGGGCTCCGGTGATCCTTCTGCCTCAGCCTTCCAAGTAGCCAGAACTACAGGCGCGTGCTATGATGCCCAGCTAGATTTTTATTTATTGTAGAGACGAGGTCTCGCCAAGTTGCCCGGGCTGGTCTCGAACCCGTGGGCTCAGGCATTCCACTCGCCTCGGCCTCCCAAAGTGCTGGGATGACAGGCTGAGCCATCGAGCCTGGCCTTCTTTTTTCTTTTCTTTTCTTTTTTTTTTTTTTGAGTAGGAGTCTCATTCTGTCACCCAGGCTGGAGTGCAGTGGCACACTCACAGCCACCCCAGCGTCAACCTGCTGGGCTCTGGCGATCCCTCCCCCTCAGACTTCCAAGTAGTGGAACTCCAGGCACATGCCACCACGCCTGGCTGATTTTTTGATTTCTTGTAGAGACGAGGTCTCAACGAGTTGCCCAAGCTGGTCTCGAACCCCTGGGCTTAGGCAATCCTCTTGCCTCAGCCTCCCAAAGTGCTGGGATGACAGGCTTGAGCCAGCCTTCTTTTTGATTTAAACGAATGCTTCACTTAGAACAGCTTTAGGTAGCACGGAGCTCCTGCACCTCCCAGGTCAGCCTCCTCATGGACGCAATGGTGCCATCTCAACGCCACACTGGGTTCAGTCTTCACCTAACGTCCTCCTTCTGTTCCAGGATCCCACACGGCATTTGGTCATCATGACTCCTTGGGCTCCTCTTGGCTGTGACACTTGGCAGGCTTCCCGTGTTTTTGAAACCATGGCAGTTTTGAGAGGATGGGTCAGGGCTGTGTAGACTGTCCCTGGCCTGGGACTTGTCTGATACGCTTCTCCTGGTCAGACTGGGGTGACTGTGGGATCCTGGGGGGAGACCACGGGGGTGAGGCCGTGTCCCCCTCCGTCATGCCAAGGACACACAGTGCCAGCAGGTCTCACCCTGGGGAGCGGATGGTGGCCTCGCTGCCAGGGTCATTGGGAATCTCCTCTGCGGAGTTCCTCTTTCTCTTCCCCTCTATGAGGTTCTCTCCAGGAGGAAGTCGCCGTGCAGTCCACGTGTAACCACACACGGAGCGGGAGATACGCCCCCCTCCAGGATGGCACCTCCAAGCGATATCTAGAATTCTGCGGCCAGGCTTGTGACTCCTCCCAGTTGACTCAATTCCTTCATCGTTGTGTTTGCGCTGGTGTGGACCGATGGACCGGTGGATGCTTCTGCTACACGCTGGTTTACAATCCAGCCTTGTCCCAGCTGCTCCTGGTGTCCCCCAGGGGCTTGTTGGACCTTCTCCAGGTGATGTCACAGCAGAGCCAGCTTGCGGCCACATGCAGGGCCCGTCAGGAGGACACCCAAGATGTGTGCGGGCTCCCATGCTGGGCACCACCGCCCCGTTCTCAGTGGTCCGCCACAGTGTCCTGTGAGGTTGATGGCCCGGGGATGCGGCCGGTTTTGAAGCCGAGGGAATGCCACCCACAAGGGGAAGAGGTAGCTGCTGGGCCTGGGGCAGGCTGTGGAAGCCCTGACCTGGGTCTGCACCCGAGCCCCCTTGCGGTGTCCTTCTCAAGCCATGGGGTTCGGAACAGGTGCACGTGTCAGCAAACAGAGGCTGTCTGGCCTCGCGGCCTCAGGGGCACCTGCTGCCCCTGGCGTCCACACCTGCCTGTCCTTGCCGCCTGCTTCCTGACGGGGAAGGGGTCAGGAGACACACCGGGAGTGACATTCATACTCAAGCACAAAGGCCTGCGGCCAGTGCCTTTCCTGAGGGTGGGTCTTGGAGGGAGGGTGGCCTGGGCTGGAGATGCAGTGGGGAGGGGGCACGGAGGCAGGGGCCCTCTCAGAGTCTGGCTGGGTCCGGGTAAGCACAGGCAGGGTGGGGACACGCCTGGCCAGGGGGAGCCCCTCCCCCGTAGCACCATCAGGGGAAAATGTGCACTGAGCGGTGCCAGGGCTGTGTCAGGAGCCCAGGGAGCAACAGGAAAGGCTTCTCCAGGTAGCCTCCGGGCAGCCCCAGCATGGCCCACAGGCCAGATGCCCCTGAGCCCGTGGGCTGCCAAGGAGGCCGGACTCCCTCGGTGTGGCCCAGAGCTGGACTTAGGACCCATGGGTGGACGTGATCCGTGAACGGGGCCCCAGGGCAGAAGTCTGACTCTGGGTTCTGGCCAAAGATGCGGTGGGATCTCGGCAGGGATGTCTCTCCTGGCCTCAGGCTCCTTGGGGGTAAGTTCTGGAAAGAAGATGTCGGCCAGCCAGGGTAGCCAGCAGCGCGTGGGTGCTGGACTCCCCCAGCTCCCGCACCAGCAGGGAGGGCAGGGGGCTTCGCCTGGTTTCTGAATGGAGGGTGCTGGCGGCCAAAGCAGCCGAGCAGGAGGCAGGGTAGAGACGGGCATCAAAGGTGCTGGTTCCTCGCTCCCACCCAGGGCAGACTCCACGGGGACGACGCCTCCTGGCCCAGGAGATGCCCTCAGTCAGGCCCTGCACAGACGGGCTGGGAGCCTCATCTGGTGGGCAGGGTAGTGGGGGCCTTGCATCCTGGAAGAAAGGAGAGCCTGCCCGCCTGCCTCTAGCCTCTCTCCCTGGCTCTCTCTCAGGTGCTGAGGATGGGAGGCCTCTGCCCAGGGCGCCTGCCCTGGCTGGTCCTCGACCTGGCGTGGCAAGAATCAGAGGGCGGAGGCTCCGAAAGGGGCAGAGGAGAGAGTCGCCCGTGGCTGCGGGCCCTGTGGGGCGGGTGGAGTGAGCCTTGGGGTAGTGCCACGGCAGGTGGGAAGGACACTGTGTCCGGTTCTGACGCTTGAGCAAAGAGGAGGTGGCAGTTCCTCGGGTGACCTGCCAGGACATGCCCCCGTGGCCGGATTCACCTTGGTTCTGTGAGCATCCCGTCACCACAGGACTCTACCCTGGGGATACGTGCAGAGGCCCTGCGGCCACACTCCTGCCCCCAGGAGGTGACGTTCCAGGCTTTGCTCCTTCTCAAGGGAGTCAGCATGTCCCAAAGGGGCCACGTGCTCCAGGGACTGGCCCCCCAGGAGGTGGCGATGACCAGGGACTCTCTACTCAGTAGACCACAGGGCCCATGGGAGGCAACGGTGAGGATGCACACAAGAGAGACGGACGGGGCGTGAGGACTGCCAGCTGCAGGAGGGCCCAGCCGCCTGCCTCGCCATCCGGCTCCCTGTGGCACAGGAGGGTCTTCCGGAGATTTTACCGTGGGCAGCTGTGAGGATGGGGACTCCACACATCACTTGGGGAACCAGCCAGAGTACCCATGCGGCCCCCTCGAATGCTCTGAGTGTCTTTCTATGATGTATCAGTCAGCTGGGGCTGCATAACAAAATCCACAGACCAGAGGGCATTTTTTTCCCTTGCAGTCTGGAGGCTGGAGGTCTCAGATGGAGGTCCTGCAGGGTGTGGTTTCTCCAGAGGCTGCTCTACCTGGCTGTAGACAGGACTCCCCCTCCCATGGCCTCTCCTGCTCTGAGAGAGATATCTCTGACATCTCTTCTTCCTCTTGGAAGGACACTAGCCCTATTGGCGTCAGGTCCCACCTGGACGAGTTCCTTTAACCTGATGACCTCCTTAAAGGCCCTGTCTCCGGACACAGCTGTGTTGGGGGTTTGGGCCTCAACACTTGAGCAGGGGGCACACAGTTCAGTCCACAGCGTACACCGCAGCTTCCAGCTATAGGAACGGGGACCCTTGGACGGTGGGCGGGTCTGTGTCCTGGGAAGAGCCAGGAGTTGGATTCGTGTGAGTGTCAATCCCGCCCTGCCCAGGAGCTCTGGGCTGGTGGCGAGTCGCACCCTCTGTGTGGCGGTTTCTGCTTCTCAAGACACCACTAGTACCCCGTGCCCCCCACGGGGTGACGCAGGAACTCAAGATGGAGAGGGGGCGAAGGCTCTCCAGACAAAGGCCGAGGGTACGGGCTGCGGCCTGGTCCCCTTTCCTGCACCTCCAAGCCCAGCCCTCCACCTGCTCCCTGACATCCCAAGGGACCTGCGTCTTCCACCTGGGAACACTTACACACGGACACAAGGAGCCGGACGCACAGGACACACACAGCGGGCACAGGGCATGAGACAGAGGGCTCCGGGAAGCCATGCGGCGGACACGGGACAGCGAGCACACAGACGCGGGCGCCACGCCCGCCGAACACACCCGCCACGGCACTCCGCGCCTTACCTCGGAAGTAGGGGATGTAATGATGTCTGAACACGGAGGTAGGGCTTGGGTGTTGGGACAGGGAGAGGCAGCTACTGGTACCAACACTCACAGTACCAGCTACGGGGCAACAGAGAGCAAGTCATCAGCCTGGGATGGCCGGCCAAGAGCCACAGAACACCCCTCGTCCCCACGCTGCCGGGAGCCTTGGCGCTTCCTCGCTCGAGGAAGGCACGCCTTTTTGAGGCACCCAGGGGTCACCAGAGCTGCTGAGACCACCGCCTCCTGGGGCGGAGCGAGGAGGCCCGGCCTTGGTGGACAAGGCGGCAGCCCTGGGGCCGTGGGCGGGAGCCCCTGCCTGGGCCGCCGGGGCGAGGGCGCCCGAGCCAGGCCTGCTGCCCCATGCTGGGGTCTCCTTGGGTCAGGACCCAGCCGGAGAGCCACTGGCCGGAGGTCGGGGCGTGTCTGTCCGGCTTCGCTCAGCGGGTGCGAGCCCTGGCTCTCTGGGGCCACCCCAGGTTACGCAGAGGGGCGCTGGGGTAGCTCAATAAAGTCCGTGGTCCCCACTCACCAGCTCACCTGCTCGCTCATTCGTTTGCAAGCTCACTCTTTCATTCATTCGCTCACTCATTTGTTCACTTGTCCATTCACTCATTCACTGATTCACTCACTCTATCCGCTGGCTCATTCATTCGTCCGGTCATTCATGAACTCACTCATTCATGCGTTTCCTCACTCATCCACTTGTGCGTTCATTCACTCTCTCACGGGTGTGTTCACTCACTCGTTTAATCACTAGCTCATTCACTCATTCATTCACTCACACACTGCTCCCTCCCCCACTCAATCACTTCACCTATTTTTTCATTCACGCACTCATTCATTCACTCAGTTCATCACTCATTCATTCCTTCACTCATTCATTGAATCAGTCATTCACTTATTCGCTCACTCATTCATTCCCTCACACATTCACTCTCTCGTTCACTCATTCACATACTCATCCACTCGTTCACGCATTCTCTCACGTCCCCACGTTCTCGACGTTTATTGAGCAGAATGTATCAGGCACATTGCAAGGTGTCCGTGAAAACGACTTTGCAAATGAATGGGTTTTGATTTTTCCACAAGGGCTGCAAAAATAAGACGGGTGGGAAAATGGGGTCATGCAGCGGCTGGCCAAGAAGGAAGCAGCTCGGAAAAATCCCTCAAAAAGGCAGCAGCTGTGTGGAGCGTCCCCGTGTGCGGCTTTGACACGCCCAGGGGCCAACAGGGAGCAGCACACGACCAGGCACCAGGCAGGGCACGAGGTGACGGGGCGGACAGGCGGGCAGGGCCTGGACGGGGCCTCTCGCCAGCTTTCCCAGGAAGAACTTGCCCCTGGGGTCACCAGCGCAGCAGCAGGCGCAGTGTTAGTGGGTCTTCTGACTCCGTTTTTTGGCTGCTGGTTTTGCCTTCCCAGACCCACAGGAGCTCGGAGGGGCTGCCGTCTGGTCTCCTACTGCTTGTGTTAATCTTCCTTACGCCTCTTGCTACCCACACGTCAGCACGATTCTCAGGGCTCAGCGTGTGCTCACAGGGCGGCTGCTTTACCGACAGGTCACCAGCTGGCCCTGCAGGTCACCTCCCCGTGCAGACCCGGGGAGGGCCTTTTCCTTGGGCCGCTGAGCAGACGAGCTCTCGGCCACCCACCCGCGGACGTCCCAGCCCTTTCCTCTTGTTTCTAGTGTGCAAGAAACTGGCCACTTCACAACAGGAAAACCCAGGAGAAGGATGGCTTCGTGGGGGGGTCCCAGGAGCCGGGGGGCCAGGTACCTGGACGACTGTAGTGCTGGGGAGACCGTGAGGTGGGGGTGTAGCGCCCGAGGCTGACCGAGCCAGTGGAGCTGGGGCTGGAGGTCCGGCACTGCTTGTAGGACCGGTCATCCTGGTCCCCCTGGAGGGAAGACACCGCATATGAGCACCGGAGCCGAGAGCACGCCCGCCCGCCTCCCCGCAGCCTGCAGCCCCACTCCGCGTGGGCCCTGCTGACCCAGGCGACTGACTCAACACAGCCCCATGTGGGAATCCCTGCACCCACCAGGGCACGTCTGCAGGGCCGGGTAGGGCCTGGTCCGGGGCTGCCAAGTCCCTCGGCCTGAGCAGGGCTCCGCCCCTCCCCTCTGCACCCCGCAGACTGGGGCTCCATGGCAGTGGAAGTACCAGCCACACCTGCTCCTGGCGGGTCCCCTCCTGCCTGGCCCTCGTAGCACCCTGGGCTCCTTGGAACACAACTTGAGGACCACGGAGACGCCCCCAGTCCCAACAGGGGCCCCTCCTAGGGACACCAGGGGCGTTCAGGGCTGCAGGGGCACATTTGGAGGCGGGAAGGTTCCGGAAAGCCCCGTCGAGTCAGACCCAGAAGCACTGATGAGGCAGGCCTCACTCAAGCAGGAAGGAGCGGCTGTGCGGAGCGGGTGGCGGGTGGAGTGAGATGGCCTGGCATGGCAGCCAGGGGAGAGCAGGCTGCCTGACATGCCACAGCCGGCGTGCAGGCCTGGGGGGTGGCACAGCCCAGCTCAGCGCCCCGCTGTAGGGGAGACATGGCTGCTCTGCTCTGGGGCCGCACCACCATGAGCAGTGGAGTCCTGGTCTGGGCCCATGGCTCCCCCGGCCTGAGGCTGTGTGCCTTCCACCCCTGGGACCTGCTGCTCGAGCCTGCCTGGCGTCCC